GCCCACCTGCTGCCGCAACGACGTCTCCAGATCGAGTCCCAACCGGTCCAAATGCAAGTAGCCATTGATACCATTTACGCCAGGATCAGACTGCCACCCATCAGAAGCGCCGCCGACAACGCTGCCGGCCCCCGCCCCGGCCCCCTCAGCCCCACTGCCGCCCTCAGCGTCACTGCCATCGGTTGCGGCTGTCTGCGGCTCAGCCCCGTGCCCCTGGCCCTGCCCCTCCTCAACGATCTGCGCCCGCCGCAGCGCTAGGTTGGTTGTTGATGGGCTTGTGAGGAGGCGCTCCACCATCCGGGGCACGTCGCTGCGTGCATTGCGTGTGGTGTGGGGGGTGGCCATGAGGGGTCGTGCGGGGTGAGGGTAAGGGGGCCGAACCGTCAGTACCTAGAGCGGATGTCATCTGGATAAATAAGTTCAAGAATCACTTACTTTTTAATTTCATCCTTTGCTTGTACTTTTAATACTTAGTTAATATCTTTATATGATTTTCACTGAATAAATTGTTTCGTTCTGGTAAGAAAAAGCTGATAAAAAGTTTCTTTAGCACAAAATGGACTTCTTGTTCTGCAAAGAAGATTACAAACAAAATTACTACGGTCTGGTTTGGTGGTGCTGTGTAATGTGACGAGACCAAGCTGAAAAGTAAGGGACATACAAATGCACGGGAGCATCTGACGCGTAGATGGTGCCCATACGCGCAACAGAACCACCCGGCAAGAACATGTAACCTCCGATCAAACCCCCTCCTTTCAACGTTTTCTATTTGAACATTTTCCAGTCGGAGGACATTGTCCTGGTCTCATCAAGGAGTTGCTTGGCCAGGACTTGCCAGTTTTTCGCTGGGGGTCATGGTACGGCATGGCAGTGGCGATTCCGTTGTTGGGCCCCCTGCTGCGTTTTATCACTTTCCTCCCGTGCCTGGTGTTTACTCACACCGTGGGTAATCGCGGAGTGTGGTCGGAGAGGCTGGGTAGTTCAGGGTGATGACCCATGCTGCGGTCGCTGCCGCCACCACCATCGCCACCGCCACTGCCGCTGGTTGTGCTGGGGGTTCCGGTTATGGTAGTTGTTTTAGTTGTGGACAGCAACGAGAGCAGCATGATGGCGACGGCCACACAGCAAGCCGCCAGGAGGATGACCCGACGGCGCGGCGGAACTGATGTGGGAAGGCAGAGGAGGTGGGCCGAGCCGGCGGTGTTGCCTGATGAGGCGCCACCGCCGCTGGCGCGGCTGAAGGCGCTTCGATGCATGAGAAGGAGGAATGAAACTGTGAACTGGTTTGGTGGTTGTTGTAGCCGGGCGTGAGGCTGTTTGGGTATTAGAGGAGGTAGGGGGATGCGTGCCAGAGCGCCGGTACAAGTGCGTAGCTGGGCCTTGGCTGGGCGCACCAATCGCTGTTGGAAGTTTCGCGGCTCAAAGATTATTATTCCATGCGGAGAAATTGTTCCCACGAAGATTGCAGCTGTCGATAGTGAAGAACAATATAGTCTAGATGGATTTTAAAAAGAAAAACCTTGCACGCGGTTCTAGGTGGCTCAAACGTGGAATCCTTTTTGTGCAGTGCTATTCTACGTAAAAAGCCGTCGATTGTCAGATTGCATACGGGCCGGCGGGCTTTCTATTGCGTACAGATTGCCAAGGAGAGCGGTTCAGCTGGGTTCAGCAGCGTCTAGCTCGCGTGAAAGTATTCATCGGGCAATTGGCAGTCATTTAATTCTAAAAACTCGTTCAGAGCAACATTTTTGCGATCCTGTGTGTGGAGTACAGCAAAGCCCTTTGAGCCAGGGCAGAAAAGTGAGATCTATATGACCGCAACCTCGGACCTGGACATGTCAAAACGCTTTCTTCCCGGCCCTTTGCGACCTGAAGGTTACCAGAGTTTGGGCGATCACCCATACTATATTCAACTTGAATAACCCACTGAGGAAGGGCAGCTGTTTCTAATGCAAGTAAACTCGCGACCCGCGGGTCCTACATGACCGCAGCTCACACGGTAGATTGAGACCACCTTCTTATGTCCAAGGGAGCAAGTAAGTTGTTGCTCCATATTAAGCAAAGCTTTCGAAAGTACCTTGCCACTGAAATACTTTGCCATCTGAAGAGATCAGACAGGAGGCTGCTTACGATATGTGGAGCTTCCAAGTCTTCACATGGCTCCTGCGTCAGCATGATGGCTGCATGGTCCAATGCATCAATTTAGGTTAACTGAAAAGCACTAAAAATTGAATAGGTATCAAGAGGCTTGGAGCTGGTACCAGGTAACATTTACCAAAGGATGCTACTGAATGCGATGCGATGCGACCTCCGCAACTCTTCTTCCTCCGCAACTCTTCTCAGTGCATGGAACGCATGGTAAGGCAGCGCCGGCACATGGCTATTTTCCTTGTAATAACGTGGGTAACCTGACGTACTGCGGCAATAATGGATCATTATGGGGCCTTGCAAGAAAGCGCGGGAAACATGAGGCTGGATCCCGCACACGAAATGCAAGGTGACGCAAACACACCTCCATTTTCCTGCAGAATGCGCGCGACGAGGACAGATGAAAGCTCATGACCACAGCAAGCAAGTAACAATTAAATCTGTTGTGGCCTCTTCTGCTGGGAGCTGCTCCAAACAGTCTTCCACACGAAATATCCCTTTCCCCGATCCGCCCCAAATATTTACTTGTCTCTGCAACAGATTTAAGACCATTCCCAAGGCACAGGTCTACACAGCCGCCGCCGCCGCAGCAGCAGCCGCTGCTGCGCACAAAGTCCACAGGTTGCGCCCATGACCATCTCTGAGGAGCGCTGCCCGCGGCGGGGTTCTGCAGCCGCGCAACCCGGCTCCTCCTCTTCCTCATTTTTTGCGGAGCCAGGAGCGCCTTCACGACATGCATCTATAGAAATCGGAAATTATGAAGAAAAAACGTCAGAGCAGCGACAGCAGCAAGAACAACAGCGGTTGGAACAGCAAGAGCTTGCTAGCGGAGATGCTCCAAACAGCGAGGAAGAGTACCTGTACACAGCAGAAGGACTGGCAAACCTTGCTGGTCCGCTGAATCCTTGCCACGTGCCAACTTGCCTGGACCTCTTCCGGCGACGCAAAAAGTCAAAGGGTTCCTCTGATGGCTTCTTTCGACGTCTTGTTAAGACATGTAGGTTACGCATCTGTACTTGTTTAAATGTTGCGTTGCTTAACGAACGCAGAGCGATAAATTTACCGTCATGAAAATTTTAGGCATCGCTCCTGGTCAAGAAGTGTGGGCCGCCGGCTTTAGGGTAACACTTTTATTCGAAGGCTTTGCACGCCGCGGCAAAATTGGGTCGATACTGATCCAAGCAAGCCTGTCCACAATCCTCCTAATGGCCATTTTCGCGCGTGGCCATAACCCCTCACTGTACCCGCATTCAAGGGCGCCAAGGCTGTGCAGGGCAGTCCGCCACGATTTCCCATCTGGGTCGGCCACCACCATGTTCCCATGCTTTTATATTTTTGTAATTTATACTTTTCACTTCACTCGTTTTCGCTTTCCTCTCAGCATCCCCTTTCCACTTACTGTCCTGATGCTTTTTCAAATTTTTAAATTTTCAAATCTTTCATTTCCTGCGGGGACGCGATCTGCCGCGATCATTACGGCCTTTACAAAGCCCGCCGCCTTCATACGTGCGTACGTGTCCGCGTGTCTTTTTATAAACCTCCGTATGCAATTGTATTCCGTGAACAGGGAGAAGTCGCTCTGTGCCGGAGAGTTGCGAGTCCTCATCCGCGGAAGCGGAGGCTGGACAGCGGAGCCGCAGCCGCTGGACGTCAAGGCGATCCAGCGACGTTTCCGAGGACGAGCGGAGGGCGGTGGCGGCGGCGTACGGCAAAGCGCACGGCACGGAAGCCGCGGCGGCGAAGACTCGGCTGGTGCCGTTCTTCGCTTCATCTTCTGCCGCCGCCAGCGCCGGTGGTGCCGCTGAAATTCGGGAAACGTTCGGTGCGGGACCGGCTGAGCTGTCCGGGGCGCTGACCTACACCGCCGCCGAAAGTAGCGCCGTTGCCGCCGCCGCAGCTGCCGCAGCCGCGGCTCGCCGACCCGCGCTGCTGGCGCATTCAGCGGAAGGTTGCGTTGCATCGACTCTGCAGCTCTCCCCACCTCGGCTAGATGTGCTGCGGGACCGCGTCCCGCGGCCGTCCCGTTTGGCGGCTGCAGGCAGCACAGCGCCGCCGCCGGCTGCTGCGGAATCATCACCGCCTCATGACTTGTACGACAGGAACTACTATAGCAGTACGGCTGGGAGGTGTCTCGACATCTGGCATCAGGGTCAGGCGAATGCTTTGGCAGTGGCCCCTGTTGACGCTGCTGGCGGCAGCGACCATCAGCTGCCGTACAGCTGCCAGCTACAACGGGAGCAAGGGCTGCGTCTGCCGGCTCTGCCACAGTCCCGGGAGGGCTGCTCGTCCGAGGGCAGAAGCGATGGCTTCCGCGGCGTCGGCGTCGGCGTCGGCGTCGATTTGTACGGCGGCTCCGTTGCCGACGGAGGCTGCAGGCTGTCTCAGCCAAACTACCTCACCGTCCCGTCAAGCAGCCACGGCCTGGCGAGCAGCCGCAGCGCCAGCGGGGGCAGCAGCAGTGGCAACGACAGTAATAGTACGAATAGCGGCAGCGGCCGTACTAGCGCAAGCATCAGCGGTAGCAGCACCGCTAGTAGCGCCGTCGGCAGGTACGGCGCCGCCGAAGCTGCCGCGGATGAGCTCGGGCTGTTGGTGCTATCGGCAGCTCTGGCGCCGCGGTCAACAGCTCAGCACGAGACCAACGACCTGCCGGATCAACATTTAGTAGTGATGGGTTCGTCGTCGTCGGCGGGTACGGCACCGATGGCCCCGCCGCCGCCCCTGTCGCCGTCATCTTGGCGCCGTACCTCCGACACAGCGAACGTGGACGAGAGTACGGCCGGTGTTGCTGGAAGATTGCATTACGGCAACCGCGGCGTGATTCACAGGGGTCACAGCCGACGGCCACATCGGCATGGCGGTGGCGGCAGCGCCGTCGCTGTCGCCGCCATGTACGTGCCAGAACGCCAGAGACCGGTCACTTCTATGCAGCCGCCGCCGGCGCCGCCGCTGCCTTCTGGTGCCTACGACGACGGGCTGGTTAGGATGCAGTCTGACATAGGGCCCAGGTCAGCGCCGGATCAAGTAGTGGCGGCGGCGCTGCTGGCGGCGCAGGCGCCGCCACCTCCGTACGCCGCATTTACCGGGCAGCATAGTCCCGATGCAGGAGCAAGGTCACTAGCCCTGGTCTTATTAGAGTCCGCGACCTCATCGCCGCAGGAGTCCACAGCCGCAGCTGCACTGATCACCCCCAGCAGCGCCAGCAGCTCCAGCAGTAGCAGCGGCGGCGACAGCGGCGGCGGCGGCGGCGGCAACGACGGCGATGGAAGCCGGTGGACGCGGTCCGTCGACGCCCGCAACGAGGAGCTCCACGACGTCCTGTACGGCAACGCGAGAAGGCGAGGTCCGATACTGGCCGGAGCTTCTGGCAGCATCCGCAGCGCCGCTTCCGCGACCGCAACCTCCGCCGCAACCTCCGAAATCGGTCCTACCGCGCGACGACGACTCCCTCCTCGCTCCCCATCATCGCCATTGTTGACTAGCGGCCGCAGCGGCGGCGGCGGCGGCGGTGCTGCCAGATGCGTCCCTCCGGAGCTCTTCGGCTCCCCACGTCGCTGTCCCGTGCACAGCCCCTTCCAGCCCCTGTCATTACAGCCGCAAGGAACAGCAATACCACTATCCGCACTGTCGCAGGCGCCGCTACCGCCGCCGTACAGCCGTCCGCCACGGCCGCCGCCGCCGCCGCCGCCACCACTGCCTCGCTCCGAAGGCATTATTACTACTGCTGCGGCGGCCGCCGCCGCCGCCACCACTCCAGCCAGCTCCGCCCCGGAATTGCTGTTCCCACGCGGCGGCAGTAGCGCTACTGCACGCTATTGCCTCAGCCGCTGCGCCAGTTGGGGCTCTCTAGACGCGGCAGCGGACGGCACGCCGCCGCCGGCGCTGGCCGGATTCGAGACTGCCAATTCGTGTTCGGAGCTGTCCTTACCTCACGCCGCTGCCGCCGCCACCACCGTGGCCATGCGCCCGGCTCCGCCGCCGCTACCACAGCCGCCGCCAGCCTTACATGCCAGGGTGCCTGCCGCCCTCTCCCTCTCCCTCTCCCTCGCCCACTCCCTCGCCGTGACTTCCAGCTGCCCCGACCTAAGGGATTGTCGCCACGCCAGCTGGGGCTCGAGTAACTCCCTGGACGCCCTGATGCCGTCCAGTACCGTTGAACCCACCATCACCATTCCGGCCGCTACCAGGACATCCACACCCACCGCCGGCTTGTGTGTGCCACCGCCGGCCCCGCCGGGTCCCACCGCACAGCCGGGCAGGGGACAGGGCTCCCCGGGTGCTGCGCATGCGCATGTACATTCGGACCCTGCGGGCTTAGGGTCAGTATCCCTGGCTGGGGCTGGGGGTCAGTGCGGGGCTGGGACGGAACAAACGGAAGGCAGGTCTCGGGAAGGCGATGGGGTTAGCGGCGCACACGCTGCCTCGCAACTGGCACCCTGGTGCCCGGTCACAGCCGCAGCCGCAGCCGCAACCGCAGCCGCAGCCGCAACCGCAACCGCAACCGCAACCGCAGCCGCAAATGAGAATAAAAACGATATATATACCAAAAGCCAGGCGCCAGGGCCAAGTGCAGAACCTGCACGGCCGCTGTGCCGTACCGGCACCACAGGCGACGCGGGGGGTGTCGTACAGGCTCAGTACGGCGGCGGTACCGGGAGCGCCGCAGGTGTCCGCTGCGATGACGGGGAAGAGGAGGACCAAGAGGAGCTGTCGCTGCCGCCTTTGGCCATGGCGCGGTCCTGGAGCTGCGAGAACTTGGCTGGGGGGCCCAGCACGTGGGCGGACTGTCGTACAGCGGTAGATGAGCCGGGGCCCCCTCTGCAGCCTTCCTCTCCTTTGCGATCATTGGCCTCTTTAGCGCAGCCTCAGTCGCCACAGCCGCTGTCGTCGGCCGAGAGGATATCTGTGGTGGTGGTGGTGGCGGCGAGCCTGCAGACTCAGAGCAGCCAAGAAGATACGGGGAAGGACTCCACTCGAGGCGCAAGGCAGGAACAGGCTCAAGGTCAAGCCCACTGTCAAGGTCAGGGCCAGGTAGCGGACGGGCTGCCGGCACCGCCCGGCGCCGGCTTATCAACTGTGGGTGCGCGCGTGCGGGAGGCTCAGCGGCGGGCGGCGGAGCGACTGTTACTGCGGAAACAGCAGCAGCAGCAGCAGCTGGAAGAACAGCAGCGGGAGCAGCAGCAGCAGCAGCAGCTGCAGCTGGAAGAACAGCAGCAGCAGCAGCGAGAGCAGCAGCAGCAGGAGGTCGTCACTGGCAGGTCAGGGGAGATGGAAGTTATTTGCGAGGCCGTGCCTGGGGGCCAGGGGCCGCTGCTGCGGCCACCGGCGCCATCGCTAGCCGAACGGCCCCCACGCGGCTCAACGGGGAGCCAGGAACCCGATTTAGAGCTAATTGCATCGAATCGTGGCGAGGATGGTGAGAACTCTAACCGCCAACTGTCGGTGCAGGCGCCTTTGCCGCCGCTGCCGCCGTTGCCGCCAGCGCCTGCAGCGGCAACGGGGCCACAGCAGCAGCAACGAGTTAGGCACTGGCTCGATCAGGATTCAAGCCAAAGCCTGAATCCGGATCCAGAAAAAAATCTGGATCCCGACGCCCAGCTGGATTTGCTGCTACAGCAGCTGATCAGGGCGGCGGCGCCAGCAGGATACGGTCGCTCCGACACCCAAGATCCTCCGTACGTTTCCAATCGAGGTCGTTCGGGGCGCGCTCCGGCGGGTCCACCGTCGCAGCAACAGGCGCGCTTGCCGGCCGTCGCCAACGCCGCCGCCATTGCTGCCGCCGCCAGCGTTCAAGGAAGTGTCGTACGGTGCACGTCAGATTGGACGACGGAGCAGTCGGCGACGTTGGCGATGGCAACGGCGGCGGCGGAGGAGGAGGCCGAGGCGGCGGCGGAGCAGGCGGAAGGTCAGATTTTTCGGACATCCAAATTCCTCCCAACGCCGCCTCCGGGGTCCATATTTGCCAGCGCAGGCAGGCGGGGGCTTGAAGCCTGGGCCAACGCCGCAGCGGCGCTGGGCCCCGGCGGGCCGCCGCCGCCGCCGTACTGGGCACGCCGCCGCCCATTAGTGACGTCACCAACGAGGCACCGCAACAGTGGTGGCGGCGGTGGCGGCCGCTTGTCCAGCTCAGCGTCCAATATGATGGCCCCGCGGCCACAGCTGGGCTGGCAGGTCCGGCCGGGCGCTGCCGAAATGTGGAGAAGTGACGGCGGCGGCGGCGGCCGTACATCTGCTACCAGTAACGTACTTGCGGCGCCGCTTCACGGCGCCTTCGCGGCGCACCCGACGGGGTATCTTGGGAAGACCGCTGTCCATGGGGCCCGTACGCAGCTCTTTGAGAATTGGGGCGCGACGGCGGCGGCGGCGGCGGTGGCGACAGCTGCGATTAGCAGCGGCGGCGGGCGTGGGACGATCGGTGAACCTGACGATGATGACGAGACGAGCTGTCGAATTAGGCAGCTGGCGGCGCGGCGGCGGAGCCGCGCCGGTACAGCGGGCGCTTCTGGAACTTGCACCTCCGCCTCCGCCATCGTCTCCGCGTCTGCCGCGGCTTTGGCGATGGCTGCTGACGCCGCCCCATCGGCGGCCGCTGTGGCGGACCGCCGTCGCCGGCTCTCGGAGTCCGGCATGGGCTCACGTTCAGGTGGTTGGGGTTTCGGCGCAGGCGCCGCTCCTGTTGCGTACGGTAGTGGCAATGCTGACGTCACCACCAAGGCGCGCGGCATGTCGAACAGCACCAACGGCGTCGGTGGCAGCGGACGAGACGCAATCGTACGATACGCGCTGTCGGAGCTGTCGAAGCTCGAGGCGCTGATCCGCGTGTCGAACATGACGCCCGACGACGCAGCTGCTGTACAACAGGTACGACCGGTGGCCGTACGGGAGGTGACTTTTAGGATGTACCGCGTAGAATTTGGGTGTAGAGTTCGATGGATGACACTGATGGAACACAACGTCGTGACGGACACACCATTCACGTCTCTCGCGAATCAGCTACCGCCGCACACAGGCAGCTTCAGTAGGAACCTCACACCTCTACTACTGTATAACCTTTGCTCAGTTGCCATTTCCTTTTTGTTGTCCTTGCTGTCCCGAAACATGCTTTTTAGTTTGAAAAACAGACGATGCCAGCAGAAATACGTATGTTGTTACAGGGTGGTATAGCTTCACCTGCTCTCCCCTGCGAGAGGGGCACCCATCCAATCCATTCACCCCATCCGACTTCAGAGTGTATTCGTTGGGTTCGGCAACACACCACCAGCATCCAACCAAATCTAGCGGATCAACGGCGCCTCAACTTAATTCCTGGTCAGCTCGCAATATGTATGTATGCAAATGCAAATGCAGAAAGAACGGAAGTTTGTCCTTTTCAAACGGACATCGGATTCTCGTTTTTCAGCCGCCCTGGAGCTCCCTCCACCTCGGAAACGATGTTGTTCCTTACCTGGCTAATCTGTACGACACCGTACGTACGTGCAGGTAGTCCTAACGGAACTGTTGGAGCGCATCAACAATTCTTCTACCACTGCCGCTACTGCCGCTCCTGCGGCGGCGGCGGCGGCGGACGGTACGACGCTTGGCGAGAACAGAGGAGAAGTCGGTCGTGGTGGCGGCGGCCGAAGCCGACCGGGTGGAGGTGGCGGAGGTGGAGGTGGCGGAGGTGGAGGCGGAGGTGTATCTGAAGTAACCCCCAGCAGTGTCGTGGCGGACATGTGGAGCGTGTTGAGCCTCTGCTTCGACGGCGCTGGTCCGCCTCTGTCACCCTCCGGGGAGTTTGGTCACCACCATCATCAGCGGCAGGAACAGCAGCAGAAGCAGCAGGAGCGTGGAGGAGGGGGTAAAGGGGGCGGGATGCAGCCCGAACAGCCCCCGAAGGAGCTGCTGCAGCAGCAAGGGGTCCAGCAACAGCAGCAGCAGCTGCAGCTGCAGCGGCGGCGGCGGCGGCCGCAATCCGTATCGCGATCCGAGCCAGGTATCGGTCTGGAGCTGTCCCGTAGCGCACCCCTGCATGCTAGAGAAACCGGCTTCCTCGGCAACGTGTACGGCAGTAGTCATGGCCATGCACAGGACGAGGCGGGCGCAGTTCTGGCGGCGGCGCCGCTTGGTGCGGCGGGGAGTATGCCGTACAGCTTTGGCTGCAATAGCAGTAGCTGCAGCGACGATGGCAGCGGCGGTGGTCAACGGCGCTGCGGCCGGTTCCCGCCCCCGGATCGCCCGCGGCCAGCGGCGGGGCCGTCGGCGGCGGGTGCTGGTTCCGGAGCGATTTCGAAAGAGGATTGGAGCTACTTGGCGGGTATCGTTCTCGCGCAGGCCGACAGCAGTAGCAGTAGCAGCAGTAGCAACATCAGCCTTAGCAAAGGCGGCGACGGTAGCGAGGCGTACGGCAGAGGCGTTGATGACGGTTGCCGCCATCTGCGTTCCCGAAGCGGCAGGCGGCGGCGGCGGTCTCGGGCTGCGTCTCGTAGTACAGTTGCCGCCGACAGGCCGCGGGCTCGTGCAGACTCCGGCACCGACGGATACGGCGGCGGCGGCGGCGGCGGTGGCAATCGCCGCGGCGGTGCGTACGGATGGCGCTCCGGGACAAGTGGCGGAGGCGGAAGCAGCATCTTCGGATCGTGCGACAATCAGTTCGATATGCTGGACAAATGGCTGGACCAGGTGGTTACGCTGCATCTGTCAGCGGAAACATCATCCTCTGTGACGGAACCGGCGGCGGCGCTGGCGGCGTTGGCGTTGGCGGCAGCACCTGCCGGCACCACCACAGTCGGCACCACCACTGCCAGATCTGGCGGCGGCGGCGACGGACACAGCAGCGAGTTGCGTGCCGTACATGCCAACACCTCCACGGTGCCGTCGCGCCTCGCCGGCGTGGGCATCACAGATCTCGCTGTGGCCGATGAGCCGCCACAGACATTACCATCAACGCTTCAACTCAACCATCAACAGCTTTCGCCGCGACCACCAGCACCACCACCAGCACCACCGCCACCGCCCGCGCCAACGGCGGCACCAACGGCGGCAGCGACCCAACCTCGGGAGGATGTCGTACCGTCGTCCTTATCAGGGCAGACACAGCTGTACGGCAGCGGCGTCTCCATTCCATGCAGCCCGGGTACCTTTGCAGTTTACAGCCATTTCTACAACCAACGAAATCTGGTCGCTATGGCTCTCGAGCCGGCCGCTCCGCCCGCTGCGGCAGCAGGCGTTGTTATATCTCCAAGCAAGCGGCGGCGGCGGCGGCCCAGGCGGCAGCCTCGGTACGGCATGCAGGTATGCGGTAGTAGCGACGGCAGCGGCTTGTGCGAAGACGTTGATTCGTCGGACCGTTGGGGCCAGGAAGAGGATGACGGCGCCGCTGGTGTCCGAGGCGGCAAAGACGCAGAGCCGCCGCCGCCCAAGTTGCCTGCCACTCTTCTAGAGCAAAACTGCGGGAGAGCTACGGTGCAGGAGACGGCCGTACAAACCGCTGCAGAAGCGGGACCGGGGCATATCCGTACAGAACAGACGCAAGCGACGGAGCCGAAGGCTGTAGCGCCGGTGCCGCTGCAGCCTTCGCCGCCGCCGTCGCCGCCAACTGCGATAAGACCGCGGCCACCGCCTTCACCTCCAGGCCCTCCGCCGCTGCCACTTTTCGTACAAGCTCATGCGCCGGCGGTCGTGCGCCCGCCACAACTGCTGCCGCCGCCGCCGCCCCCTGGCCCGCCGCCGCCACCACCTGTCGCGCACGCTGTCGTTGCGCGACCGGCGATTCTACCGCCGCGTCCGCCACCGCCGCCGCCGCCGCCGCCGGTCATCGGCCGCGTCAAGTCCCTGCCAGTGCTACATCCGCTTCAGAATGTGCCGCCGCCGCCGCCGCCGCCGCCGCAATCGTCTTCTCAACCTGGCCGTACTGCGGATCAGCTACAGCAGGATCGGCAGCAGCAGGGCCAGCAAATCCAGCAGCATGAGCTCCTTCCGCCACCGCTGCCTCTGCTGCCATCGCGTCATCGGGGCACCCTGGTCGGTCCACCGCCGGCTGCCGGCCTCGCCAAGCGCATGGGCAGCTCCTACGGGGTGCAGCGCTATCCGAAGGTACGACGGCTGGTACGACATGGTTCACTTTAATTTTGTGCTGGCTATATAACAATTTCTTGGTGAAGGTTTTTGTTAGCGTTGTTAGGTTTAATTCATTTTTGTTCTGATGTGGGGATAAGTCGTACGGAGCTGTTGTGGGGCCGTGTCCCGCCAGTGGGCCCCGCGCCACCAAAACAGCGGTACCCTCTGTTCGGGTGTCCTCCAACAAAACAGTAGAACAAAACACGAAATCAGAGCTCACCACAAAACCTCCGTGTTGAAAAGCGCTATCCGCTCGTGAAGAGGCCCACCGGGGGCCCCCAGCTGTACCTCCTTCAAGAGCTCACATCACAAATCTTCCAAACCAGGGGAAACCATCACTCCCTAGGCGGCGTGCTCACTCACCCACTCACCCACCTTCACCCACCCAACCACCCACCTAACCACCTTCACCTACCCCACCAACCAACCAACCACCCACGTGCAGGTCATCGCGCTGCATCAGGAGCTGCGAAGGGCCCTCATGGCCGCCGCCCAGCCAGACGGACCGCGAGGGGGGGGAGCCGCCGGAGCCGGCAAAGGAAGTGGCAATGGCTGGCGGGGCGGCGGGTGCGTAGAGAGCCGGCACACACACACATACACATACACACACATACACACACATTCACACACATTCACACACATGCACACATACACACATACACACACATACACACACATACACACACATACACACACATACACACACATACACACACATACACACACATACACACACATACACACACATACACACGCTTCCATCAAAACGCACCTGTGCATGGCGTGCATGATGCGCGGTTGGACTTAGAGCTCCAACACCGATGCAAGTTGTAGCATGCATCTTCCGGGATCAGTACATCTCCCCCCCCTCCGGTGTGTGTGTGTGGTTCGTCTTGCCCCCCCCTCTGGCCAGTGCCGGTCACGCCTTAGGTGGGGCCTTCGGTGTTTGCCTCAGTGCTGTGCTCGGGAGGGGAGGGACCCGGCGACTTGTCGGCCCTATTGTCCGACCCGGCTCTCACCCCCAACCCCATCTGCCGCACCACTCTTTCCTTGGCAGCAGCTTCACTCGCTCACGTGGTTCGTCTCCCCCCCCCTTACCCCTCTCCACATCTACATGCAGAACGGCCGGCGGCGGGTCAGCGGGCTCTGGTCGGCTGGTGGATGAAATGAACGCAAAGTCGGCCTACCAGCGGCAGGTGGCAGAGCACGCGGAGAGGTACGGCCGGTTGTACAGTGTCGTACAGCGGACGCGGTGTACAGCAGCCCATGTGCATACTACGACGTACAGTATGCAGGGGCTGGTTTTAGAGCTGGTTACTGTTTTGTTTGATTGGGATGGTAGAGAACTGAAAGGGACATGACTTGAATCCCATC